GGGGCAGTGGGAAGAGGGAAGGAGGCAGTGGCCAGGGTGCAGCCTATTGGCAAGCTGTGTGTTCCAAAGGCTCTGGCTTTGGACTGTCTCCTGTGGGTCATGAGCCACCAAAGATCGTCACAGGGAAGGTGGTGACCAGACATGGCACAGAGAGAAGAGGTTGTTGAAGGATCGCTGGAGATGCGGGAAAGATAATCAAAGACCCTAGGAAGTAAAATCTTTGGTTTTCCTTGAAACTAAGCATGAGGAAAGGGGAATGTGCTGACAAAGAGGTTTATACTAAATAACGAACTTGTGGATGACATTGGCCAACGTGTGAATAGAGAACACTGATGCCCAGAGAAATTCAAGTGCCTGTCTCAAGATCACACAACCAAAGCTGGTTTCCTGAGTCTTGATCGATGAAAACAAAGGGATCGTTGGTTAAAAAAAAAGTTTGCAGATGCCACCTGCTACTTCCTTCTCTTAATGATGCAATGTCTTATTAGCATTTTTCCTTCCTATGAGCCTTTGAAAGGCTCTAGGGAAATTGTGACCAATAGAATAGAATTTTCAGTAATGAAAATATTCTATTCTGTGCTGTTCAATACTGTGGCCACCTGCCACATGAGACTGTAAAGCCCTTGAAATGTGGCTGGTGAGAGAGCAGAAATGGATTTTAATTTAACATTTTTAAATTTTTATTTAATTCTTACTAAAGTTAAATATAAATTGGGTTGGATCAGTGAGTGCAACAGGGCAGCGGGGCAGAAATGACAGCTTTTTATTTTTTTTTAAGACATTGTCTCTCAGTTCTGCTCTGTGACACGGGGTTTGGCACTCTGCAAACCACCTTTTTGCCACTACTCCCTGTTAGGCTCTGCTACTAGGGCAGTGCTAGGGAGTGAGAGAGCCTGGAAGGAAGGAGGCAGGAGAGGTGCGTCCCAGTTTGCTCGCCCTTCCTCTCCATCAGTTGGTTCCAGTGGCAGTGCTTGGCTCGTTTCTAGCTTTTGTGATCCCCTCCATACTTCCAGAACCACCTTCATCTTGCACCCCCAGAGCTACCTGCTCCAGCCTATAGGCACCCTCTCCTGAGATGTTCAAATCCCACCCTCCCCTATGCTCCCCCAAGCCCTAGGGCTGCAGGGTGCTTTCTGAAACTTCAGTCTCAGAAGACAGTTTTTTCTATTAAATTCTCTCTGTAAAAATAGCCGGGTTGATTTCAATTTTCCTGCCTGGACCCTAACACAATCACTAAAAGCTAATTCTTAAAAGAGCAAGCGAATAAATTTAGTTATTCAACAGTAGGAAATAGTGCTAAACTGCACTGCAATGGTTTGTTGGCCCTGATCGAATAACTGTCCACCTTAGTACACTGTTTCGTAACTGGAAGAATTAGTCTGCTTAATGATAAATTGGGAGATTTTCCTAATATGGAACCATACTGAATACCACCTTTTCTAAAGACAAGTTATTTATCGCTACATAAATTACCCTCAAACTTTAGTAATTTAAAAAACAGTTATCATCTCATAGTTTCTAAGTGTCAGAACCCAGGAACAGCTGGACTGGGTAAATGTGGCCCATAGTCTCTCATCAGACTGAAGCCAAGGTGTCAGCAGGGGCTGCAGTTATCTGAAAGCTCGACTGGGCTAGAGGACCCACATGCAAGCCCACTCACTCATGCAAGGGTTGGGAAGAGGCTTCAGTTCTTACCATGTGGGATCTTCCATACAGAGGCTCAAGACATTGCTTCCCCCAAAGCAAGTGATCCAAGAGAGAGCGAGCAAGAGGGAGGCCCCACCACCTTTTCTGACCTGGCCTCCAGGTCACATACCACCTTTATACCTTATTGGATTCATCAGATGCAAGTCACTAAGTCCAGCCCGCATTCAAGGGGAGGGAATCACACAGGCTGTGAATACCAGCATGTGGGGATCACTGGGAGCCATTATGGAGGCTGCTAGCCACAACATCTAACTTCTGATTAATACTTAATGGCCTATAAAGCATCTCCACGTAGCACTGTCCATCTGACGCTCACGAATCTGTTAGGTCAGGTAAAGGACGCACTATATACTGTTATTTGTATTTCACATCTGTGGAAACTGAGGCTCAGAACAGCTAGGAGATTTCCTCAAGCTAGAACCCAGGTCTCCAAATTTGGATCTATACGCTGTGACACTGCTGATCTATGTCATGAATCCAGGAAAAGCAAAACTAAAGAAAAAGCTGCCTGAATAAGAGCAGCTGATGCAAAGATTTCTAAAGACATAACGTGACTTTTTCCAAATGACTGGAAGGTGTAGAGCAACAGTGGAAAACTAGATGCTCCATTTTATTTACCACTGCACTTAGAGAGAGAAACCATCCACTCATAGTAAACAGCCGACACAGAGAGATGGATCCACACGACTACTTCAAATAGTCAAGGGACTGTCCCTGGGTGGTGTGCATGTTGTGGGCTGCATCCAAGGTTGGCTTCTGTTGAGAAGACCAAGTTAAGATGCCATGAGGGGCATCTGAATAATACAGAGATGCTGGAAAATTTGCTTGCGTTAAAGATGGTTCTCTAAAGGGCTTCATTCCCTGTCTAAACCGCCCTTCTCCCAGCTGTGCTCACATACTGCTCACTGGATCAGCCACCGAGCCACAGCTCTCAGGTGCCGACACCCATGCACGGGTGCAGAGTTCAGAACAAGGTGACCAGGAGACCTGCGGGCTCTGACCCAGCCCCTTTGGGACATGAAATCCACTGGGGGCTCCTGGACAATCACCCAAGCAGGATTTTCAAATTACCAGCAAAGAAAATACATGGCATAGAATAATGATTTAGAAGTTTTGACTGACGTGCCAAAATCTGATCCAGATACCAAGGCGAGGGGTGAGAGAGAGACCCCCAGGTGCATACTTCTAAGGGGATCTCAGACAACTGGGCCCTCAGCCCAGGAATCTCCCAGCCAGGTCAAGGGGTTCAAAGGGTTGAGAGAGACTGGAGGTGGGGGGAAGGGTATTGAAAGCAACTACTTTAGAGAGCTATGCTGGGAGGTCTACCTTCTCTCATCAGGGAAGTTGGGGAAGGGCTGTCCCCAGAAGGGTGTGGACCCATGGTGACTCAAGCAACTCAACCTCCACTCAATATAATCACACTTGAAAAGAGGCTACACATGTTAGCATCTTCGATGGGCCCCATGAGATAGCATTAGAGCCCAAAGTTTCAAATTTTAGTATTAATGAAGTACAGAAATGAGAAGTAAGGTACAGCTTCTCATTGCCCTGCCTAAGGGATGGACCTGGTGGGAGGGGACTCCACTTCCTAATCCAAAGCCTTCATGGGCTCCTTGGGGGCCCACTCGGAGCTCCATATGCATGTGTCCCCTGCCGGTAAACTACACAGATGGCTGGTTTGCCACCCTGCCTCTGGTGCTGCCTGCCATTAGAGCAGCAGGGGGCAGGAGAGAGAAGTCTGCCCTTTCAATGAGGACCAGAGCATTGTTGAGTATAGGTGGCCTGAACTCTTTCAAGTAGTGCATTCAGACTGTTTGCTTCTCAAAGTGCCATTCAGACTTTCTCTTTGTTTTCTAAGGATGGCTGATAAAGCCACGGGAAGGGACTGGTGCTCTGCATAGGATGTAAAGGGCAGTGGGAGACAAAATAAAATGGCTGTTATAATAACACCCTCTGAGTCCAACAGGTTCAACATGTTAGTTACACTCATAAATTTCAATTCTTTCAAAGGCTCCTGCCAGCTCTAATAACCTCTGACTTCTAAGTGCGAATTAGTACTTATTTAATTAACAAACACTTCAGTCACACTTGCTGTAAGTCAGGTACTACTCAAAGCACTTTATCAATATTAGCTCATTTAATCCTCATAAAAGCCCTATGAAGTAGGTACTATAAGCATCTGTTTTACTTATGAAGAAAATGACACACAGAAAGGTTAAGTAACATACCCAAGATCACACAGCTAGCAAGTGGTTGAGCCTGAATTTGAACCAAGGATGTTTATAGCCATAGACAAGAACAGAGTTCCAGTCTCGAGTTCCACAACTCTATCTACCCAAGTGGGATGAAAATAAGTGTCCGCACAAAGGTGTGTTATGTGAGTGTTCCAAGCCGTGTTATTCACAATAGCGAAAAAGTGAAAATAATCCCAATGACCAGTAACTGGTAATAATGTGGTCTAGACATACAATGAAATGCTATTCAGCCAGAAAAGGAACCAAGTGCCAACAAAGGCTATAGCACGGGTGAACCTCAAGATGATTATATGTAGTGAAAGAAGCTCAATGCAAAGGACCACATGCTGTATCACTCTGTTTCTACGAAATCTCCAGAGCAGACAAATCCATGCAAACAGATCAGTGGTTCCTGGGGCTGGGTGGTAACAAGGACTGACTATAAGGTGGCATAGGGACCTTTTTGGGGTGATGGAAATGTTCAAAACCAAGCTTGTGGTGATGACTGCATAGCTTGGAAAATTTTCTAGAAACCACTGAATTGTGCACTTCAAACAGGTGCATTTTACGATTTTTAAGTTATACCTCGATAAAACTGTTAAAACAAAAGCAAAGGGAGCTGACTCTGGCCATAAAGGCCCTTCCTCCTGTTCTAGCCAGTTTACAGCATGTGAAAACCCTTCCGAGGAACAGTGATGGAGCAGTGAGGGGAGCACTTTAGGCCAAGAAGTTGCCCAAAGCCTCTAGATTTCCTTCCAGGTTCTAAAAGCCTCTGCGCAGCTTTGTGGAAAGGCCCACCTCACCCACCTGCACCCAACCAGAGTTTTGCACCAACCAGCTGAGATTTCTTTACACAACTGCTCTGTTTTGCAAAGGGTAATTATATGCAGGGGAATTTCCTACCCAATATGAGACCCCATATTTATTATTCCCCAAACACCCCTGCATTATTTTGCAATGCAAAATTCATGCCTCCTCAAACCAATTACTTGGGAAATGTGATATGTGATAATGAATTATACATGTGTTTTCTTTGTGAATTTTTTTTCTCTTTGGGGATGCTAATTATGAGACAAATTGTTGGGGGGTTTATGTCTTGAAATAATTCCTTGTCATATAAGAGACCCTCTTGCTACACAGTGCCAAGCTAACTGTGGCTTCCAAAGAGGAAAATGTAAGTCATTTTCAATTAAGGTAGTAAAAAAATGTGCCACTCATACATACATATATACATACTCATATATACCTGCTGATATATGTATATTTATTTCAGAAACAATGAATGCAAATTCAATACACTCTCTGGCAGATTCTGGTGGAGCTCTTGGTATAATATTTTTCCATTTTGAGGTACATGTACCACCCCTGGTTTACAACTTGAAAAGTCATTTCTGATGCATAAAAGTTCCCTTTACATAGGGAATGTGTCTCTACTGTGGGTGTCCAGTGGCCGACATACAATTCCCTTGTTGAAGAAAAGTCTTTCAAAGCTGAGACATTATTCACCCAAACTAAGGCCAAATCTGTCCACTTACTGTACAGCTTGATGCTAAAGGGACAGAGAATAGTTATTTGGCTTTTATAGCTTATTTTGAAGTTATAACATTACAAGTGCTGTTTCATAATTCTCTCAAGCAAGATCTTTGTGATTCTTATACCTTAAGAGATCATAACCTTTATTTATTCAAAATCGGTACTTCTTTCCAAGGATAAAAGTTTTTGCTATAGTTGCTTTTAAACTGGAATTTCAAAAAGCCGCAGGTGGTTTTTGAACATCATTCTACTCATTGGTCTTATAAATGGAAAGCTAGCTGGCAATTTGAGACCACTCTGTGAATCCAGTCCCTCTCAACACTTAAATGATTCCATCACTGACATATGGAAAAGGAAATCCAATTCCTCAAACACACTTAGAGTACCATATTCCCCAGAAGAATTGGCCATCCTTGGAAACGCAATCCAATCGAAGCACAAGGTACCAGAATTCACTCAAGTAACAGGCTACTTTTATGACAGACCAATAAAATATCCTGTTAAGTTGTCTGAGGAATACTGTTATTCAGAATTACCCACCATTCTGAATAACGTGCTATTAACTTAAAAGAGATGCCAGTATTTTGCTGACTGGTTAGAAACCCTCAGAAAACCTCAAGCAGAGCACTACACCTACTCAACTTCTGAAAATAAAGAAGTAAGACAACCTTGTTGCCATAAGTAGCTGGCTAAGTGTCATCATGACAAAGTGTATACAATTTGAAGTTGGGGACCATACACCATCCACTTTCATTATCAACTGCCCACACTGCACTTAGGCACTCAGTAACTAACTCTTGAAGGATTGTAGCCTGCAGAGCAAGCATAACTCCTAGATGGCCACCTCATAGCAAGCTCTGTTCTGCTTACCAGTAAAAGTCTCTGCACGTGGATTCACTGCTGCAAAACGTTTAGAGGTTCCAAAATCGGTGATTTTCACCACTCCACTATAGGTATTCACCAGAACATTATCACCCTTAAGAAAAGGAAGAACATTAAATGCTTAAAGATGGATTTCGACAAACGAACATGACACAGATTTGGACCTTAAGAAACAGTCACAAGTCTATAGGAAGACCAGACTGCACTTTGGGGATTCCCATGCTCAATCCTTTGTCTTCTGTGGGCTGGTGAGCTTCCAGACACTGCCAGCAGCTCATGTGATCTGAGATATACAAATGAGGCCTCTTTCGCTCAGACAAGCAAGTACCTTTATGTCTTTGTGCACAACCTGGTTTTCATGGAGATACTTAAGGCCTTCCAGGATCTGCTTGGTGTAAAACTTGATAGCAGGCTCCTTCATTGGCCCCCACTTAGATTGCAAAAGAGCAGAAAGGCTTCCTGGAAACAGACGCAGCAGAAAACTCATCAGAGTGATGAAGATTCAATTCTAAGAGTTCAGGGAAATAAAATCAGGTGATGCTTCTAACCTAATGTAAGCAATCACACCAGCATTACTGTATCTGGGCTAAATACGACATCTTCATTTTCTCTCTGTTGCCTGTTTCCCAGATGTGTGAGCAGCACAGTGAAGGGACTGTAGGTGAAACAGCATATCAGCTTAACCAGAGGTGGAGGGTGAACTGGAACCCCTTGTGACCCTGGAAATTCAGCGGGGCCACCCTAGGGTTTAGCTCTGTTCAGCTGCACAAAGTCAGGAGGAGACCACAGCAATGCTCTCTGACTTTAGGTGAGGTGGCCCAATGCTTCAGACCTGGCACAAGTGTCTTAGCATTTAGCGTGGGTCAAAGCCACGTTTCATACCATGGTGAGATCAGAGGTGGATAGGACCAGAGTGAGGGGCTCTTCAGGGTAACAACGGACTAGGACTGGAAGAGATTGGGTCTCTCCATTCTCATTGTGAAATGCCCTCAATGCTAGGCCACAGGGACAGGGCTGTCTTAATAATCCTTTAATTATACTAATAAACATTGAAACTTTAGGCCAAATTAAACCTCCGTTCACTGCATTCCCAT